GCCGGGTGAAAGGAACCGGACTGTCGCTCCCCAGAATGGTAGGAGCCAGAGCCAAGAAGCTCTGTTATTTGGAGAAAAAAAAATAAAAATAAAAATCTGGACGTCCGATGAGTGTGAACCTGAGTTCGGCTGGACGTCCAGCCATGTGCAGGTCTGGGTAAGGGTCCGCAGTAACCATGTTTCTGAGCAATTCCATGATGTTCCAGTCTCCCACGTCTACTGACCCTTCTCTGTCTACGGCTGTGAGGAGGAAAAAGGGTGCAGATGGGAGTGCAGATGGGGGACCATTCTGACCACACTTCCGGTCCTTGTTCCCCATATTTTCGTTACTTGTGGGCAGGTGCTTTTGTGTGCACACCTTGCAGAGTGGTGAAACTTCTGTTCGCTGGTCCTCCTTCCTGCAGACATCTAACTATTCATTTGCTGCAACTGCCCAATGGATGCTCAGTCGCTGGAGGCTTCTGATTCTCTGTGGTTTGATATTGTTGTGGTAGTACCAAGGGTTTGGGGATTGTGCTCTTCCAACCTGGGCTCAATCCCTAAGTGTTTGGTCCATCCATTCGCTATCCCCGGTTAGAGATCCTCCGGCTTTTCGCAATTCTGGTAGCCTATTTTGACATGGAAGTCTTTGAGGTTTACCAGCTTCCTTAGGTTGCCTTTACCCCTTCTAATTTTTAACCCACCATTCCCATTCCAAAGGGTCTTATTCTAATTCCTTGATATTTCTGTCTGGTCTAAATCATGGGGTGTAGAATTGCGGTTTGCCCCTTTGACTACTTGTGTGTGTTTGCTTCTGCTTCAGAGTTCTTGTTTTCCTCGGCATTTTGTTGCAAAACTCTAGGGTTACTTTCTTCCTTGACCGTTGATATTTTTCCCATCTACGTCGATCACTTCGAAGGACTCCGATACTGCTATTTTTCGCTGCCGGTTTCTGTGCTTGACAATTCTGAGTGTTGCTGATGGATGCCTCTGACTCTGACAGTTACCCAGTCCCCTTTTTTTTCCATTCCACTTCGCGCTTCAGCGGGTGTCTCCACATGATCGGGATGCTGCCTATCATGTCCTCAGCAGTTTTCTCAAGGCAGTGGCGCCAATGACCTTTAGGCGCAATCTAAGGTCACTGGCAGTCTTCCATCTTTTTTTTCTTGATCATCCAACAGATGTTCAATTCTCCACATTCCCTTTCCACCCATCTTCTCCATCTCTTGTTCTCACTCGTCAGTGACCACGGTAAATCTCCCTGAAGTTATTACTAACTTATTAGTATAATATTAAACCTAAAACTACAACGACCTATCCACAATAGTTTTCCAATCTTCGGCAAACCAACAGATATCTGCCCAATAGACGGAAAGAGATTCAAATACCCGAATTTCAACTGGCATGTGCAGCTTACGTAATTGTACCGATACCTCTGATGACACACATACTATATAACACTGTATACAGTCTCAGTTTTCCAACCTTGAGCAATGGATACCTCCAAGGAAAAACTATCTACCGTCATAGAGAACTGCCACATGAACCGTGGTGAGAAAAGGACAAGAGAGGGGGGGCTGTGACAGACTTTCATAGGAGTTTCATCAACTCATCAGGTGGCTGAACCTAGTATATACGACAGTTTGACATGAGCACCTTTTCATGAAACAAAAACACTATCAAATACACATGAAAAGTAGAAACACGATGTGGTTAGCGCCCATGTTCAAAGAAGAGGGCTTGTACGTGAGACCAAGTCAGGAAACACCTAGCCTAGAACCAGAATGCTGCAGTACGGATCAAGTATTCCCACTACTGGTGACTTTTAATTGTGAGGAGGTTTTGGAAATTTATATAAGAGACTCACGTCAAAATCTTGGCAGCAGAGAAGGGAAACAAGGTGGCAGTGTAGGTCCTCAAACAGAGCCTTAACTTGGTGATGCGGGTTTCGCTACCCACTTATCATAACATCTTTCGGTTTGGCAAGAGAGAATTGTTTTAAATGTTCTGTGTTGTTCGATTATTCATTGGTTGAAGTTTTATCTATCAATTCAAATGGATGGATTACAGTCATTATGGGAAGGATATTAAGGGGTATGTTTGCATGATAATATGATGACAAATCCTTTGGGCTATGGGGATGTCACTTAAACCACCAGGCCCCCGACTTTCCGGTAGGCCGATATTAGTAATTCACCTTCGGCCTACCGGTAGTACAGGGTGGGCCTCCCTTCGTTCTTGTTTTTTGTTTTTATTTTTGGCTCTGCAAAAAGAAAACGAAAACGAAACTGCAGGTACCACCGCATTTCATGCCTCACTCCACTGCCCTGACACGCATGGAAAACTGAAATGATTGCGGTGTATATTCCATGTTGTGCTGCAAGGTTCACCGCGTGGCTTTTTTTGTTTTTTTCCCCACAAAAAGATGCAATCAGACTCGCCTTAATTCTCACTTCACATGCATGCAAACAGGTTGCGCAGCAAACTGGCGTCAAGCGCCCACCCAGAACTCAGAGATATAGTAACCAAGAACGCAGCTCAGATACAAGTTCACTTCAAATGGCTATGGCGGCGCCTGCACCACTCTCTGTTCGTCAATTACTCAAAACTGCTGTTCCCACACAGGATCACCCTGGATATCCCACACGCAACGCACTGTATACTCACACACACCCACACACTTCTACAGCTATGGCGGCTATGGCCGCTGCTACTCTATCGCTATGGCTAAGCTTCCTTCTCGCCCACTTCGTCTTCGGGCTCACTGCAGACCACCTCGCACAAGTCGCTGTGGCAGCGCTTCCGCATGGCTTATGCAGGAATGAATGAATGGCTGGGCGCTGCCTCTTGATTTATACTTCTGTAACTCGTTGGTCTGCCCCTCTCCACCAGGCCTATGGTGCACACAGTCCCTCATGGTACTTGCTTGACTGGACTGGGACTGACTGGACCGGTGTCCAGCTGGACCGTCAAGAAAAAGCCCTCGGGTGGTAGGCAGCCGCCCGACACCGGTACCGCTGACTGCATGGGTTTGCACCGCAAACTCACTGCAGTCGCACTGCCAACGTACTGAGGTTGGCTCCACCACTTGCCCACTTGCCTCTGACTGAAACGTGAGGCAACTTCGAAAGTCCACTTCCGGACCTTCCGGAAGTCTGTGGACTTGGGCTTTCGAGTACTGTAGCAGCTACGACCTTGACCTTTCAGGACTGTAGCAGCTACGACCTCTACAGGGCTGTGACTCCTACTTGACAGATCTACAGATTGAACCCCTACCACTACACAGACCTACGATGGACAACAACAACTGTCAAAACACAGGTCACAGGTTCGAACACTCGGGGTCGACACAGATACTGTACACAGGTAAGGTGAGAACTAGGGATCGAGCCCTGGGATCTACATTCGCTACTGCTAACAGGTGAAAACCGTTTCACTCCCGCCGGCCTAAATTCGAGGTCCTCCGAGAATAACTCAGTCCAAGGCAGGACCTTTACCTTTCTTATCTCTTTCGTAGGCTCTAACTACGTCGGGAGCTGTTTCTAGAAGTTCGGTTCTAGTAAACCAGCGGTCGTTTTCTGGTTCCTGATAAGCAAATCGAACCTTGTACTGCTTCTGCGGACGACCTCTACCTCCTGTTCTGAACACGTCTTCACCTACAATGCCGTCAATGTCGTATCTTCCGTCCATGTCAGGAGGAATCATGGATCTTCTAGATGGAAACTGTTGACTTGTGACACGCGGCAACAACTTTGAGGCATGAAACACAGGGTAGGTGTGGAGGCATGCTGGGATCTCTACTGTGTAGGACGGCCCATCCTCTCCGCCCTTAACTTCTAGAACTGGCCACGGTCCTCTATATGCGGGCAGTAACTTCCGCGAGATGTTTTCCTCAGGAGCAAACTCTTTAGACTTGACCCAGACCAGGTCGCCTACTTGAAATTGTGACGGGCGACGGTGCTTATTAGCTTGTTCTATCATTCGGTGCTGGGCCTTCCTGAGGTTCTCTACCACGGTAGCTAACTTTTTCTCGTGCTGTAACGCAAATTCCCTAGTACTGGGCGGTAGCCTGTGAATCTGATCCCGGTTCAGTCCCTCAAACGGTCTGCGTGGTCTAAAGGACTTGTGCAACTCATTGGGAGTGCGACAGGTAGACAAGTGCACGCTGTTATTGTACGCACTGGCTACTTTGGGCAACATCTCATCCCAATTGATTTGATCTGGTCTAATGTACATTCGCAGAACTTGCTGCACGATCTTGTTCATTTGTTCAGTCTGACCGTTAGTCTTTGGATGACGGCCAGATGACATCAACAACTTGGAGTCATAGACTCTCATCAACTCCTGCCAGTTCTGACTCGTGAACCGGGTGTCTCTATCACTAACTATAGACAGTGGAATCCCGTGTTCACTGACCCAATGATCAAAGAACTTATGAACAACTAACTCTGTGCGTGCCTTTGAGGGCAAAGGAACAAAAACAGCATACTTACCGAATCTTCAACTATTACCATGACTTGGCGTGCCTACTCTTGACATGGGTGTCCATAAAGTCAATGGAGACTGAATCTCCTAGCTGATCAGGAATAGGCAAGGGTCTGAGAAGACCTAGAGGGGCACGCGTAGAGGTCTTATTTCTCTGGCAGACCTTACAACTTCGAACATACTCTATGCAGCCGGCCTTCATCCCGGGCCATATATACGAGCACATGAGGTTAGCTAGAGTCTTTTGCCAACCAAAATGTCCCTCGGTACCGTGGCATTCCCCTAGGATACGGATCTCCTCACTGTTAGGAATGCACAATCGGTCAACTATGTTAGTCTTCTCGAATAGCAGCCCATCAGTAATGCGGTAGTCTGGTTCTGACTTCGGGGCCTCCTTTACTCTCTTGAGGAGGTCACCATAGATAGGGTCCTGCGCATACGCCTCTCTAACTTTCTGTTGCAGGTCTCCCTATATCCAGATAGTGAACTATCGCTCCAAAGTAGTCAGCTCTCCTACTCAGTGCGTCCGCAATTACATTATACTTCCCTTTGACTGGCTTCAGCTCAAAGTCATATTGGTCTAACTTTGCGGCCCACCTAGTAAGCTTAGGTGTCATCTTGGCCTGCGTCTTCAGCCACCTTAATGTCTCGTGGTCCGAGTAGACTTTGAAGTGCCTCCCAAGCAAGTAGTGCTTCCAGTGCTCTAATGCTTGCCTGAGAGTGTAGAGTTCCCTCTCGTAGGTAGATGTTGCTACCTTCTTTGAAGGCATCCTAACAGACATAAACTCTACGGGTCTATATCCATTGCCATCGTCTTGCTGCAATACAACACCTATACCATACTGGCTCGCGTCAGTGGTGACAACGATAGGTAAGGACGGATCGGCTACCTTAAGAACTGGGTACTCTATCAATGCCTGCTTCAACTTCTTCATGGCAGTCGTGCAGTCGTTGTCCCACTTCCAGATTGTTTCTTTCTTCAGCAACCTGCGAAGGGGAGCAGCGATGGTGCATAAGTTTCTTACAAACTTCCTGTAGTAGTTAGCTAGGCCTAAGAACGACCGCAACTCTGTCAACGTGCGGTGTGTAGGCCAATCTCTGATTGCTGCGATCTTACTATCTTCCGATTTGATGTCGTCTTCGTCTAAGACATGGCCTAAGTACAGAACTTGGGTCTTTGCCCATTCGCACTTCTTTGCGTTGATCTTGAAGTTAGCCTCTCTGAGCTTCTCCAAGACCTGCCTTAGATGATCCTCATGCCCATGGAGGGTCCTACTGAACACTAGAATGTCATCTAAATAGACTACTACAAACCTGTCCAACCACGGCCTAAACAAGTCGTTCATACAACGTTGAAAAGTTGTTGGCGCGTTGGTTAGTCCAAAGGGCATAACTATAAACTCGTAGTGCCCATATCTAGTCCGGAACGCGGTTTTATATTGATCATCAGGATGGACCTCTATCTGATGATATCCGAACTTCAGTCTATCTTCGAAAAATACTTGCAACCCTGCACCCGATCTAAAAGATCATCTATACGGGGCAGAGGTTCCACGTTCTTCACTATGATAGCATTGAGACCCCTATAGTCTATGCATATCCTAAGCTCTCCCTCCTTCTTTGGGACAAACAGAACAGGTGCTCCAAATGGAGACGAACTAGGCCTAATCCAACCCTTCTCTAGCAGTTCGTCTAACTACTTGCGCAACTCCTCCAATTCCCGCGGGGACATCCTATACACTGCTCCTTTAGGAGTCCTACTGCCAGGCTCTATCTCAATGCGATGCTTGATGGGCCGCGGAACTACTCCAGTTGGCGGCTTAGCTAAATCTGTGTACTCTTCCAACAGCTTGGCAATAGCGGGATCTATGGGTTTTTCCTCTTTAGGCTCAGTAACTGGCCTGACATAGGCTACAAAGACCTGTTCTTCTAGTTGCTCCTGCTTCACTAACCTTGCAAACGCAGGAGCGCTAAGGCAACAATGTGCCAGGGAGTTGTCTACTCCTGACACATGAAACAGACAGGCAGTCTTGACCTCGCCTGACGGGCTAGGGAGCCTACACTCATGCTCTCTCAAATGGAGTGTGGCCCCCGCTGCCTCTCCCCAGTCCATTCCTAGGATTATATCGAAGGGAAGGTTGTCGTCTACAAGGAGAGTCAGGGAATGGAGAACTTTCTCCACTTTCCCATCTTTCTCTAGGCGGAAGTACGTCTGGACTCCCTAGCCCCAACTTCAACTTCTGCAGCGCCTTTCTACTGATATAGCTGCGCATGGCCCCACTATCTACTAGGGCCCCTACTCTACCTCTGAAAACCTCTACATCTACTAAAACTAGTTGTCCTCTACTCTCCTTCTTCATCTTGGCCCAGGCGGGCATTCTCTCCTTCAGCTCATCGGCCATGCCTGTGAGGGAGGTGCCTAAGGAGACTCTGACACAAGCAGTCTCTGACAGCTATCTAGACACCGGCCTGCAACCTCTGCCATAGGCACATGTGGTGTGGGAGTTTCCTGCCGGCTCGCGCTCATTTCCCCACATGGCCTTATGGTAGGGGCAGTTGCTACCCCTACCGGCGGCTGCCTTTTGACCCCTAGGCAGCCCATCGGGCCTCTCTATACTTTGGACAGTATTTGATGATGTGGCCAGGGTCACCACAATATATGCACTGCCCCTGGTCCACACGTTGTTGCCAGACGCGCTGGTCCAGGCCTGAGTCCTCCCAAGGCCTACCCTGTGGCAAACCAGGGTGCCATCCTCCTCTCCTATAGGGTGATCTATTACCCCTATTAGGCGACCTATTCCCTGAACGATTTTGCGGGGGACCTTGACCCCTTCCTCCCGCTTGGCGATTTCCTCCTCTACCACCAACCCCCTGATCGCCCTGGGAACGACCCCTTGAGGCCCGGCCCCCTTAGCCCTGGCCTCTACCTCCTCCTTGCGGCCTCCCTCCGATCGCGACAGCAACGTAAGTCCTCCCCTGGCTAACGCCATTGTCCTCCTCCTCTAGTCCCCACTCAATCTGCTCGTAGGGGACTTCGTCGACACCACCCTCATCTAACGTAAGGATCAAACGATCTTTGGTCTTGACCTGACCCGAGATGGTGCGACCCTTCCACTTCTTGCCCTTATCTAGGTCCTTATGCCAAAAAGAGGAGATCGCGGACCGTGCTTCGAATGCTACCACTTCCCTGCTCAGTGCATCGTAGGTCATGATAGGCTGCCGACTCTTTTCAAAGAAATGCCCGCGTAACTGCTCGGGCATAGCGCGGTAGAAGAGGTTGACCAACTGGGTCTCAGTGACCCCATGGTCAGGGACGGTGACCAGCTCATCCACAACGCCCTTGAGTGCCCTGGCACTCTTCCATTGGCGAGAATGGATGGTTTGCAGTTTGTCTGAGGCCTTGACACTACGTGTAACGTCTGCAACTCGCTCACGCAATAACTTAAGGAAGTCGGTGAGGGGAGTGAACGCAGAATAAGCGACTAGATCATCATTGCAGTTAGCGGCGCGGCACAAGGAACGGACGAAGCTTGCTGCGTCGTCTCGAAGTGCATGGATGGCTATCAGGACATGCTCGTCCGAGGAGACCTTCTGCAGATGGACGTAGGTTTTGACATTGGCTTCCCAATTGTCAAAATTCTCCTCTTTCTTTCTGCTATAGGAGTCATCGAACTTGACCATGACAGGCTCCCTTCGAGGACGTGCTTCCTCCTTGGGAGCAGTCAATCTGGTGCCTTCTATGGCGCCCGTACAATAACGTTTCGTGCCCTCTAGGCGGGCCCTCACCTCTGAGCCCACCTGCGTCGCCAATTCCCTGGCGAAGTCCCGGAGCCCCAGCCGTATAGAGCGTAAGGCAATGTCCTGACCTCTACCAAACAAATATTGTTCTTCCTGGACTTGGGCCAGGCGCTCTATATTTCTCGCCATAATCTCCATTTTCCCCAGTAGGTCTACTTGCGTCGCCATTTGTTCTCTTTGTTTCTTTACCTCCAATTTTTTCGCCACCTGGCTCGCCGCCTCCATTCTTCTTTTCCTCTCCCTCGTCGATCGGAACTTCCACTCCATCCTCTTCTCATCCTCTATCGCCTGCCGCTTGAGTGGGTCTTCTTCTGCATCCCACTCTTTCATGGCGGCCTCTTGTTCTTCCCTGGGCACATACATCAGTGCCTCCTCTTCTTCCCCCAAGGATAAACCAGCAACCCACTCCGTAATTTTCTTCTCCATCTGGTCTTCCTTTGTACCACTGGATTCACCTCCTTGCCCCCTTCTTCTTCTTTCCAGCGGTTGTTCTTCTACCTCTTCCTCCTCTTCTACCGCCTTCAACTTCTCTTCCTACTCTTTCCTCTGCCTCTCTCTCTCTCTGGCCATCTCTTCCTCAATCTTCTTCAATTTGGCCGCCTGTTCCTCGATCAGGGCCTTCTTCGTGGCCTCCTTCTCTCTTCTCTCTTTCAGGATGGCCGCGGTCTTCGCATCCTGCTCTGCTGTGTAAGGGGAGGTGCTCCGGCCACTACGCGTGTCAACCATGGTGAAAGGTGCACAACCAAGTGACAGTTCCGCTCCTCACCACTTAGACTCTCCCCCTAACTCGCTCAACTTAAGACTGGCGCAGTCTATGGACCACAGGATCCGTATAGAACCCTGTCAACTACGGTCTCTAGCGTAGACTCTAATACTACAGCCGTCACTGCAGAACATGTTGCTGACCAGGAGGCATTTAAGGAGATCCCCCGTAACTCCTCAGGAATTCTTTAACGTCGCAGATAGGACGACGTGGTCAGCAGGTTCTCTCAAGACTTAGACGACCTGTTGTGCAGCCCACAACTCGGATTTTGGGCCTACCGTGCCACACCGAGCAGCCCGCCGGTCAGTACCGGTCCTTGGGAGGGTTCGTGTCCTCCTGGACAGTCGAGTCGTCAGACACAGTCTTTAGCCCTACTCAGCCCGTGTGGGTTTGGTCAATGAGGCCCTATCCTTCATACACGGAGTCCCATCACCTGGACAGAAGAGACTCGATGCAGAAAGAAGAGACAGACAAACTCAAACTCGGCAAGTACCATAGGGTGAGTGCACATCCATAGGGCGAGGGGATAGGCTAAGGCCTTGGCGAGATTATACCAACTCCAGATTGGTCAAAATTGTGGTCAACAGCTCCGGTCAACGCCTTGGTCAACCACTTGGTCAACGCTTGGTCAACGCGGTCACACCCCGGTCAACGCTCCGGTCAACCCTCTGGTCAATGCCCGGTCAACCCTCACGTCGGCTATGGCTGCCAGCACCTTCTTCCTCGCCAACCTTCAGTTCTCTTTCCCCCTCCACCTTTCTTCTTTCTCGCCCTTTCCTCTTTTTTTTTTTTTTTTTATTCACCCTCGGCTATGTCTGTCTTCAACTTCGTTGTCCTTCCTTCCTCCTTCCTCAGCTATGTCTTCCTCTTTCTCTCCGGTCTCTCCTCCCTTCTCCACTTCTCCTTCCTTCGACAACCCCGTGTCCGAGCTCTGTGGCTATGGCCGCCACTCCCTTCTTTGTCGAACCGCACAGCCAATCTTGTATCACTCAACTCTCTCTCTCTCTCTCTCTCTCTCTCTCTCTCTCTCTCTCTCTCTCTCTCTCTCTCTCTCTCTCTCTCTCTCTCTTCGTGGTTATCTTGTGCGCAGGTACACGTTACTTCTCCGCAGCGCAGCTATGGCGGACTTCCTTCTTGGCAGCGCTCCTCCACTATGGCGCCCTATGGCGCGTGGGATAGCAGGTACCAGCTCCGATACCAGTGCAATCAGACTCGCCTTAATTCACACTTCACATGCATGCAAACAGGTTGCGCAGCAAACTGGCATCAACCGCCCACTCAGAACTCAGAGATATAGTAACCAAGAACGCAGCTCAGATACAAGTTCACTTCAAATGGCTATGGCGGCACATCGCCTGCATCACTCTCTGTTCGTCACTTACTCAACACTGTTGTTCGCAGGATCACCCTGGATATCCCACACGCAACACACTGTATACTCACACACACCCGCACGCTTCTACAGCTATGGCGGCTATGGCCACTGCTACTCTATCGCTATGGCTAAGCTTCCTTCTCGCCCACTTCGTCTTCGGGCTCACTGCAGACCACCTCGCACAAGTCGCTGTGGCAGCGCGTCCGCATGGCTTATGCAGGAATGAATGAATGGCTGGGCGCTGCCTCTTGATTTATACTTCTGTAACTCGTTGGTCTGCCCCTCTCCACCAGGCCT